GAACAATTTGTTCCATTAAAATGTCTCTCTAAATAAACCGAAACAATTTTTTTTTTTTTTTGCTATCTATTCTGTGGTCTTTGTAAACAATAGCTGGCGTTTCTATAACACTTGCCAGGCTCTTGTGGTTAAGAGACCAAGTGGTTAAGGCATGGCTTGAGATGCTGGAGCTCTGGGTTTAAGTTCCAGCTCTGCTACAGGCTTCCTGTGCGATCTTGGGCAAGTCACCTAGTCTGTCTCTGTGCATCAGCGCCCCTTCTGTCCAATGGAGGTAACACCACACCCGTGAGGTTATGTCAAAGAGCATGAGGTGCTCAGACAGTGAGGTAATGGAGGCCAGATGTCTATGACAGACAGAGGCCAAAGGACACTTGATTGATATACAGGTGTGGTCTATAATTAAAAATTAGATCAACCTAGTGACATCCTGACTCAGGGCTGTGAAGAATGATGTGCCCCAAGCACCCTAGTTAGGTCAGCCTAACCCCCAGTGTAGACGCGGCTCGGTGAATTCTTCTGTCCACCGAGCTACCGCTGTTTGGAGCTGTGGATTTATTACAATGAAGGAAAGCCCCCCCCCTTCTGAAGGGAGATGTGGTAGCATTTGTAGTGTAGAGATAGCCGTAGTCCAGGTTATTGAGCCTCATTTCCTCTGCCCCTTGAACAGTCATTTCCACCAGTGCAAAGTGGGGGGGGAAGGGGTAGCTCAGTGGTTTGAGCATTGGCCTGCTAAACCCAGGGTTGTGAGTTCAATCCTTGAGGGGGCCATTTAGGGATCTGGGGCAAAAATTGGGGATTGGTCCTGCTTTGAGCAGGGGGTTGGACTAGATGACCTTCCAACCCTGATAGTCTATGATTCTATGAAAGTGGGTCTAAAATGCTGCCAGATGAGAAAAGTAGCTTTTCACACCCACTTTGTGCTCACTTGACCCTGGTGGAAATAACTGCACAAGGTGCAAGGCAGCATAGGATCAAGCACTATGTATAATATAGTGACCCCTTCACTCGCCACTGAAATGCTTCCACCTCTGAGCAGGAATGCAGCAGCTGTTTTAGCAACATGGGGCAACACTGCCCAGCAACTGCGGGAGGGAAGTGAAAGATACACTCAACTCAGGGCTGCCAACACTTGTGATTTTTATCACGGCCCTCATGATAATTTGGTGTTTTAAAGCCCCAGCTCCTGGACTCAAGAAATAAAATCTCAGCTTTCATTTTCTTCAAAAAAAGTAAGTTTCTAGCCCTTGTGCTTGCAACGAAAAGCTTGAAAATGTGGCTGCTGAAAGCTCCAAAAGGAGAAGGCAAATAAAAAGAACCCAAATGTATAGTTTAAATAATACCCTCTGTCTTAAAAAATCATATCTCAGGATATTTTGGGGCCCTGTCTCGTGACTTTTGAATGCCCGGTGGTTGCAACACTGTTAACTGCTGGAGGGAATTTAAGCCTGGGGTATACACAGGTTTTGTGCTGGTATCACTATGCCGGTTCGGGCGTAATATTTTACTGAAACCCGTACAATCGCCAGTGTGCATGCACTGGTCCCTTTATACTGATATAACTTATTTCCCTTTCTGCAAAGGAATAAGCTACACCAATATAAGCACTTGACACTAGTATAACTGTGTCCAGACTGGGGGGTTCGCATCGCTGTAATTGTACTGGTTATCCGTGCGCACACGGGAGCTAGAGTGTAATTACCCAAAGTGGGATTTGGCCGGGACATTAGGGTTAACACCCTGACTCCTATGTGTGATACCTCGGTAGGCCAGGTGTTGCTGTGGGTCGTATGTATGGTCTGAAAGACAGAACCCAGCTCCACTCAGATAAGGGGGGCTGCTGGCCTGGAATGACCCTGATTAGCTGGAGATCTGAAAGGATTGCCGTGCGTGGAGTGCAGGGATGTGTTTGCTGCAGGCAAGAGCTTGCAGAGTTGCATGTTCATCTGCCTTTTAGAGCCCCTGTGGATGTGCTCGGAAGCCAGCACAGCGGCAGGGGAGGAGGGTGGAGGTGTGGGGAGAGGACGCGGTTAGGGCTCAGCGTTGTAGAGCAAACCCTGCACAGTGACCTAAACCACATATTCACACATCCTCCACCCACACAGCAGCCCCCATCCCTTCACTCTGCAGGGTGTTGGGAAATTGCTCTCTGCCCAGGTCACGGGGCACTCAGACCAACGCCGAATGCCCCTTTCAAGAGCACTCATTTTCAGAGCAGCTGTGGCCTCTGCAGAGGTCACTGGGAGCGGCACATGCCAATACGGTAACACCTAGAGGCCCCAGCTGAGATCGGGGCCCATCATGCTTGGTGCTGCACAAACCAGTAGTGAAAGATGGCCCCTGCCCCAAAGAGCTTCCAGTCTAAACAGGCAAAAGGGAAAGCAAGTGGATTGGCCAGGATCATACAGGGAGCCTATGGGAGAGCCAGGAATTAAATCCCTCTCACCTGAGTTCCAGCCCAGTGCCTTACCATAAGACCCAGACTTCCTCCCTTTGAAAATCCCCCGCACCCCTTGTGACAGAGTAATTGATCAGATCTGGAGCTTTAATTTCTTTGGACTGCTCCTCTCTGTTAAGGGAAGCGATGGGCCAGAATCTGAGCTGACTTGAACTTAACACAAAATGTAGCCCATAAAGTGCCGGGAAACTGTTTGAGGTTAATTATGCATCATATTTCTGTTGCTGCCCCAGATCCAGCAGAGGAATAGGGTTGGAATCTCCCTCCACCCCTTCTCTGTCAATTTTAACTAAGGAGATTTGCTTCAGAAGCTGGAAAACTTTGTAGCTCATATGTCTGAAGGGATCTGGCCCTCACGTTTCAAGGTTTGATGCATTCTGACAGCTAGAAAGCAGTCTGTGCTTCACCTGTTTTGGGGAATTACGTACAGCATCTTCCTATCCCAGGCCATTTGGTGAGGAGATATTTGTTACAGCGAAGGCCTCGGGTTCGAGATGGGGTCATGAACTGAACCCCCCGCTGGCTTCCAACAGACCTGAGCTGTGCTGGGGGTAGGAGGGCTTGGATGAGGTTCGATGCTGTGCGGTTCTTTGGCCCATCTGTGCTCGGGCTGAATTTTGTAACGTCAGGAAATGAGCTGGTGAGGGGTAGACGGCTCAGTGAGAGGAAGGCTGGCTTTGTGGTTAAAGCAGAGGACTCAGACAAAGTGGGCTCCATTCCCAGCTCTGCTGCAGACTCCTTGTGTGACCTTGGACCAATCACTTAGGTCTGGTCTGCACTGAAAACTTAGGTTGGCCTTGCTACGTCGCTCAGGGGTGGAAAAAATTCAATTCTCCCCCCCAAGAGGCATAGTTAAGCTGACCTAAGCCCTGGTGTAAACAAACGCTTGGCCAATGGAAGAATTCTTCCGCCAACCTAGCTACTGCCTCTCCCTGGGGTGGATTCACTACGGCGATGGGAAAAACCCCTTCGTTCACTATAGCAACTGTCTACACTACAGCGGCCCAACATGGGGCCTCTATTATGTCTACACTACAGCGGCCCAGCTGTGGCACCATAGTGAAGCCGCTTCCTTCATCTGTGGAAGGGGCTTTTCTACTGATGTACTTAATCTACCTCTCCGAGAGGCGGTTGGAAGAATCGTACCTGGGTTCCTGTCTGTTTCGAGTCACAAGGGAAACGAGTTTGGTGATGTCGTTTAGTTGCCAGTGGGATGCACGGCCTCCAAAACCAGGGCCTGATTTCCAGAGGTGCTGAGCAGACGCAACCCGAGTTGAAGTCAATGGGAGGAGCTGTCGGTGCTCAGCACCTTTGCAAACCAGCCCAGGGTGGCCTCTGGTGGGCTTCCACCACTAGAGTCCTTGGGTTGAGGCAGATCCCAGACTGACGTGCAGCGGCTGCGCTCTGTGTTTGGTAGGGCTGGTTGAAAACGTTCCATCTGAACCATGTTTTGACAGGACACTGGGTTTTTGATTTAATTAAATGTTTCAGCAAAAGTGTCAGTTTTCCATGACAAATGTTGATGTTTTCTTCAAAAAATTGAAGGCCAAACCCTAAAGTATTTCAATTTGGCTATGCTGTGGCAGTACCTTGTGGTATTAGTTGTTCGACTGTCTCATGTCCCCATTCTCCAGTCTGGGTTGATCTCCCCTAGCCACACTGCGTTTCCCATCATGAACCATGACTTCCAAAAAAAGTATAGGAGTACTTGTGGCACCTTAGAGACTAACAAATTTTCACATCCGATGACGTGAGCTGTAGCTCATGAAAGCTTATGCTCAAATAAATTTGTGAGTGATTTTCCACTGAATGCATCGGATAAAGTGAGCTGTAGTTCGCGAAAGCTTATGCTCAAATAAATTGATTAGTCTCTAAGGTGCCACAAGTACTCCTTTTCTTTTTGTGAATACAGACTAACACGGCTGCTCCTCTGAAACATGACTTCCAAGAGTACTCGAGATTTACACCAGTGCGGCTGAGAGCAGAATGTGCAAACTGCACAGACCTGAAGCATTAGCCGCAGTGGGTTATGCAATCTTTGACTGCTCAGGCTTTGTAACACCTGAATTCAACCTGAGGCACTGTGGGCTATTCAGCTGTGTCTTTCAGTCCACCAGCTATTCCTGAACAGCTGGCAGGGTGGACAGCTGGTTTTCCATTTCTTAAAGCTTTAAGATCATATTTTTTACAGGGTTTCTTTCTTTCTGTCTTTCTTGCCTGCAAGGTCTTGTGTCCCTCAGCTCCAAGGAGTAGAGAGCCCTTAGACTTGCAGGATCAGAGTCTTAGCTGCCTTTCTGTCAGGATTCTTGTAATTGTCAGCCAGGTCAGAACAAATATCTGGATGAAATCCTCCAAACTAAACACATAAATGACTGCACAGAGTATGAACACTGAGATCCCAGCCCCTCAGGGACAAGGGATGCCCTGACAGGACAGGAGCCCTGATTCCCGGTATCCCCTTATACCCAGGTCAGGACAGAATATGCACTTTACCTGCATTCGTCACTTTATCCCCTTGGAACTGACAGCCATTTCCCTTTTTCAGTTTGATTGACGGGCAATGGCTACAAATTGCCGACTGGAGTGAGCTGAAGATGCAGCCGTCTGACTAACAGGTAGGAGGGAAAATCCCTATTTAATACCCGCTATTGGTTGTTTTTTTTTTTTTTTGACAAAGAGAAGACTTTTGGGAACAGATCCCCAGTGGGGGGTTAATTGGGGCAGCTCCTTTGGGATCAGTGGGCCAGGTCCCTATCTGGTGCAGATTAGTGCAGCTCCCGAAAGAAGGAGCGCGTCGCCAGTTTACAGCAGCTGAGGATCTGACCCCTAATTATTAACTAGTATTTTGTTTCAAGGCAGAAAGCAATAGGGGGAAAAATAGCAGGTTTCCTCCCTGTCCAGTGTGGTGTTCTGTAAATGGGCATGGGGCCATTGATGTCAATGGGCCAGATCTCCAGCGGGTGCAAACCAGAGTCACTCCCTTGAAATTCAGCTGAAGTCCTGCTTCAGTCTCTCCAGGGCATCTTCCTTCTTAATGGGACAAGATTGTGGGTCTCTGGCTTGTATTTCGTAAGCCTCCATTTCCCTGCAGAGCCCTGGCCAGTTGGTCCACGGGGCAAAAGGTTTTGGGACCCCAGCATTGGTGGGAACTTGGGGGGCGGGTACACAGGGTAGAGGATGAAGTGGTTTCAGGAGAGAATCTTTCTTCTGCCTGGGCTGCGGGGAAAACCTGGAGAGCTGCTAGGTTTAGGGAGTGTGTGTCCTGTGTGCTCCACCCTTCCAATTATGGCAGTGTCTTCCGTCTGGCCTGCTGTTTGCCGAGAGCGAGCGAGAAGGCAGAAATTTCCCCTCCCTATTTGGAAGGAGAGGCTGAGCTGAGATCACATTTCCTGTGGTCAAACTGGAGGGGGTAGTAACAGTTTGATGTGCAGCTATTCGACAGCACGAGGCTGCCCACCCCCTATGCGGCTTTGCCAGCCTCCGCTGGTGAGCCCTGCGTGAGGTTTGTGGCCAAATCTCCGTTTGTTACCAGTTGCAGGCAATAGGTGGTATGGTAACTGCCTAATCCGTCTTGAACAAAGGCTGAGGATTCAGTTCATAAAGAGAACTTGCATGCTGGGGCGGAAGGAGTGGGGGGCTCTGTAGCCGAAACGAATCGGACAGTGGCCGGGGAGCAGCTAAGGGACTGTCCTAGGGTCAAATCAGAGAACTGGTGCCACCCCTACAACTTCTGGGGAAATGCACCTATCCTTTTAAGTAGCTAATGGGATCCAGAGCCTATAAGGCGTTGGTTTGAATCCAGCCCAGGTGTGTAGCGAGTGAAACCATTGCCATCTGAGGGGTGCTGTGTGGTCTTTGTGTGAAACTAGTTAGCTGGGGCTCAGCCCAGGCCCTGGCTGGCTGCGGTCCTGCTTGCCACCTGCTGGCACTAGTTAGCCCTTGTGCAGTCAGTTACACTCGTACAAAGTGGGAGGGAAGTGCTACTGGGTCAGAACTGTACAGCCACTTTGCACTGATGCAAATGACCGCACAAGGTGCAGAGCAGGAGGGGAGCGGGCTCTGAATTCCCCTCATCCCTGAAAGAGACGGTCCCACCGGACTCAGAAGTGTGGCACATTGGCAGGGGGCCATCTGCATGGGAATCGCACCGGACCGATGGCCATGCTGTACCTGTTCTCTGTGTGTGTGTGGGTGTAAACAGAGGTCTTCACTCATCAGTGCATTCACAAGCAATTTAAAGGGGCCTTAAAGTGATCTTAAATTATAGTTGCTTCCCCTTTAAGGCCCCTTTGCACCACTCTGGCAGCATGAAGGGGCCTTAGTGTAAAAGACAATCTAGCCATGAATCCACATGACAGGCCAGATTCCCAGTTACACTAGTCTGGCAGTGCAAAGGGGCCTTTAACATACATGCAACTATAATTTATACCTATTTTAATAACAATGATAATCCCTAGCTCTTATATGCTGTATCGCTTTTCATCTGTAGCTCTCAAAATGCTTTACAAAGGAGGTCAGCATCATTATCCCCATTTCACATGGGGAAACCGAGGCACAGAGCGCTGAAGTGTCGTGTCCAAGGTCACCCAGCAGACCTGTGACCGAGCCAGGGACAGAGCCCAGGTGCTCTAAATACTAGGTTACAATGCTTTTAAGGCCCTTATATGCTGCCAGAGAGGTGTAATGCGGCCTCAAGGCTTCTTTATACACCCGCTACACACGGTCAGACTGAGAGGACATTTCAAGTGGGGTCCCACAGGGTGCATCCTGGGTCCAGTACTATTCAATATTTGCATTAACAGAGTAGAGAGTACACTTATACAATTTACGGATGGCATCAAGCCTGGAGCGGTTGCAAGCGCTTTGGAGAACAGGCTGAAAACTCAAAATGATCGTGATAAACGGGAGAATTGGTCTGAATTCAGCCAGGTGGAATTTGGGAAAGAGAAGGGAAAGTGATACATGTGGGAGGGGAAAATCAAATGCATAATACACAATGGGGAATAACTGGCGGGCGGCAGTACTGCTGAAAAGGATCTGGGAGTTATCGTGGATCAAAACTGGAATGTGAGTCAACCGTGTGAAAAGGCGTTCTGGGATGTATTCACAGGAGCGTCCTATGGAAGAGGCTGGCCGTAACTGTTCTGCCGTACTCGGCACTGGCGAGGTCTCAGCTGGAGCAATGGAACAGGCTACCAAGGGAGAGGCTGGAGAATTCTCATCCCTGGAGGTTTTTAAGAACAGGTTAAACAAGCATCTGTCAGGGATGGTCTAGTTATATTTAATCCTGCCCTGGTGCAAGGGGATGGGCTAGATCAGTGTTTCTCAACGACTGGTCCGTGGACTGGCGCCGGTCTCTGAGATCTCCCTGGCACAGTTTAGGATGGCAGCAAGCTGGTCCTTGGTATCAAAAAGGTTGACAAACACTGGTCTAGATAGGGAGTACTTGTGGCACCTTAGAGACTAACCAGTTTATTTGAGCATAAGCTTTTGTGAGCTACAGCTCACTTCATCACGAAAGCTTATGCTCAAATAGATTTGTTGGTCTCTAAGGTGCCACATGTCCTCCTTTTCTTTTTGCGAATACAGCCTAACACGGCTGTTACTCTGAAAACTGGTCTGGATAGGTTTCAGAGGAGCAGCCGTGTTAGTCTGTATTCGCAAAAAGAAAAGGAGGACTTGTGGCACCTTAGAGGCTAACCAATTTATTTGAGCATAAGCTTTCGTGAGCTACAGCTCACTTCATCGGTCTAGAGAACATCCAGCCCTACATTTCTATGGTTCTGTGGGAAGTTGTACCATTTGAACTGTCCTGGTGTAGATGAAGGGATATAACCCCCTCCTGTGGAAGCAGTTCTGCTGGTATAAAAGTGCTTGAACTGGTATTGCTATTCCCATAAAGGAAGGAGAAAAAGTGATTCTGGTATAAGGCACCTTTACCCTCACATAGCTGCATCCACAGTAGGAGTTGTACTGTATTTTGGTAGCAAATCACAGCCCTAACTGACATCGTTTTACCAGTATAAAACCTGTGCGTAGAGCACACCTGAGTGTGAGTCGGAATCAGGCCAGTGTCATTGGCACTGGTGGAAAGTGTCTGCACTAGTGTAAAGTGCCTTTGGGGTTTGGTAGTGTTTTACATCCACTCTGCATTGGTTTAAGTGGATACACGACCCGAAGAACGACATAGAATCAGATCCTTAAATCTTCTCACAACAAGGCTCTCGGATGTGTGTGTTTATCGGGAAGGATACTCACTCAAAAGTTCTGTAGCTGGTCAAAGAGTCCCACAAAAACCACTGAGTGGATGTCTCCAAGCCGCTATTCCTTCAGCCGCATCCCGAATGGGATAAGTCCTGTCAACAAGGTTGTAAGTTTTCCACGTCAAAAGACATTGCAATAAACAAAGAACAAGATGAGCGCAGATTTGGCCATAATGGCTGGGCTTGTTAATGCAAGAACTCAGGCGTGGGCAGAAAACCTGGTCTTCTGCTGTGCCAGCTTGCAGGGGTCTGGGAGCAGTGCTGATTAGAGATAACTACAGGGCCAGATCCTGAGCTGGTGTAAATCAGCTGCAGCTCCCCTGAAGACAGTAGAGCTAGACGGAATGACATCAGCTGGGTATCATGTGCCTCTTAGGACCAACGTCTGAATTCCCGTTTATACTAAGGCCTTTCATGCCACTGTGATAAAGTAAAAGGGTTTTAAAGCAGTTGTGAGTGTAACAGATTGACACCCACTTCAATGCCCCTTTGTAAATAGGAATCATGCCCCAGATGTCTGTGTAAAGGGTGTGGCCATGAAGCTATTGGACGGAAGAGAGGAATCTCAGAGCATCTATTTTTCTGTCAAATAATTCTTTGCCTTTATGGGAAGACCTCTCACCTGAGGCTTTCAAAGTGCTCTGCAAACATTTGTTACAACCCTGAGAGCTAGTTAAGTATCATCACCCATTTATAAATGGAGAAACCGAGGCACGAATATAGTGACGGGAGTTTCCCACGACCACACTGAGATGAGGTGGCAGACCTGGGCAGACCCAGGTTTTTCTCTGCTCTAACCACTAGACTCCACTCCTCTCCAATGCCAGGAGCCCCAACTCCCTGTCCTGTGCTCTAACCACTAGACAACATTCCCTTCCTGTGAAAGCAGATTGTATACTTGGTCTCATCCATCATGAAATATAAGTGTGAAAAGACTCTTATCCTGTCCCTGTCTCCTTCCCTTCCCCGGAAATTAGGATTTCTGGTGGCATTAACGGGGGGGAGGCAGGGTGGTGTCGGAACAGTTTAAAAGAGGGTATTTTTTTTCTAGAACTTGTATCCCTGTTTATTGCTGTTACAGTAAATGTTTGTATCTCCATTGTCTGTAATGAGGTTGTGGGTAGAGACAAGTCCGGGTAACCGTTTTATGAGGGTTTTATGGTTTCATGTAATGTATATTCTGTATCTGATATTAAAATCAATACAAGGAGAGATTTTAAACATAATCTGACACCAGCCCTCGAAGTGGGCGGTGGGGCGGTGGCGTTGGGTTATTTTCTCTGCTGAGCAAGCAGGTTTTGCTGGATGTTCAGAAGAGGATTGAGATGGCTTTTTAATATCAGATCGGGGGC